GGTTTCGATCCAGTCTTGAAGCATTCGGATGTCTAGTTGCACTGAGCAGCTGTGATACAGCAAAACAATAATGTCTGTGATTTATATATATATATATATATATATATATATATATATTTGGTTGGATTGATGTGAGTTTGTGACCCTGGGTTTCACGCTTTTGCCATCGTCAGACAAACTGATTAATTTTTCCAAAAATTTTGTATTTATGTAGATTGCGTGTATTGGTGTTATTATGAGATGGGGGGAATCGTCGTCGTGATGTCACTCATGCTAACGCAAACATTGATGCATGTCTGTACACCCGTTGAGGTACACAGACACACATACACACCCGCTCGTCCGCCGGGGCTCATACAGATATCAACATATGTGGACAGTATAGGATTTGATATATGTATGTATATGAGTGGTGTTGTACATACGCATTTGTATGCTGAAATTCAAAGATCGGAAGTATAGCGAAAATTTCTCGTGAATTCTTTAAATGCGATCGTCATATATATGTATGTATAAGAAAGTGAACATTGAAGTCAACACTTAAAGCCTCTAAGTGTTGACTTCAATGTTCACTTTTATATTTACATACGATCTACATCTGATATTGAGCACTTTATCTCATAAATATAGCACATCTTAAGAGTATATTTCTTCATATATATATATATATATATATATATATATATATATATATATATATATATATATATATTAGGTCATTTTATTATTGTAACTATGGAATAACATAAATATATACTAGATCAGGGTGAAAAATATTCAGTCATTTAAAAAAAATTTCGAGAACCGATTCTGAGACCTTCGTTTAAATTGTAATTCTCTTGTAACTCTGCAGTTGGCCATTGAGTGAGCATGTGTACTGTGTGACTGTCGCATTCTGAATGACCATTCGATTAGATTCTTCAAATCTCATAACATCCAAATCTATTAGTTTCTTTGCACGCCAAATGTGGCTTTCTGTGATTTTTTCCCAAACTAAAATCACCGTAGAAACATGGCGGACAAGATTAAAGGGTGATAATGGCGATAACAATGAACGTTGCTGACTGGTTTGAAAGAGCACTTAAATAAATGTCCGCGTTCACAAGGGGAGTCCTTCAAAGAACTAAGGCGCCATTGTCCTTTGTTCGCGAATTTTTCGTTAATATTAAATGGCTGAATTCTTTCTGAAAAGATCTGAGACTGAGAAACGACATATTCCTGTCACGTGAACGACATTTTCATATAGTGTTGTAAGTGTTTTATTAATAGGTATTGTTGTTAATCTTTAATATGTATGTATAGGAAGACGTAGCACATATGAATCAGTACCATCCACGGTCTCAGGGAATCGCTGAGTGGAAGAAATATCCCATGAATATAAAACCTTTGTGTGCCTTTTTTTATTCACTGAATTTATGCCCTAGCCATTTTGCGAATAACGCAGACCTTTCCCATGCAGTCTGATGCAAATTTAGGATTTCGTAGACTATGTTGAACGTTAAGGTAAGCAATCGACACATTTGAAGTGGATTAAATACAAGTCCCTAGTTGGTCATCACTTTTTGCTTATTCCTGTCTTTTACGAAGAACTTATAAAAACTCATTTATAGATGCGAATATCCCGAAATACTCTTCATGAGTATAACTTCACCTTTTAATTTTTTTTTGCCTTTTAGTCTGCTTCTACTGATTTCGGGAGGCTTTGAGGAGCGTGGAACCTCCTCTTAATTGCTGGTATTCCCAGGTTCACCCTGACCCGGGGTGGTAGCACCTGTTAGGGTCCCAGCTATGGGCAAATAGTTAACCCCGAAACTGAGGTAAAAAGCATGATGAAAGTGTAAAACTAGGTTTTAATACCAGAAATAAATTGTAAAAAAATATTACCAGAAATAAATTTTGAAGAAGAAAAACTAATACCAGCAACACGTTTTTGAAAAAAAAAGAAAAAATTACCAGCTATACGTTTTTAAAAAAATAATATTACTAGCTATACATTTTTGAGCAAAATAATATTACCAGAAATAGATTTTTAAAAATAATATTACCAGCTATACATTTTAACAAATAATATTATAATCGACGGGAGAGTTCAGTTCAATAAAACCAAATAAAGATTTCGTGTCGTAGAAAAAGAGATTAAGCATCGAGTTTTGTCATTTTTTACATAATTTTGTCCCAAATCTCGATGGTGTACGTTGTAAACAAAGAAAAACGTGCGATCTTCAGTAATGTCTTTTATAAATTGAATATAAAAGTAAACCCTACAAATTAAAAAAAAAAGGGTAAGAATTGTTGATCCCATTCAACTTAAGCACATCGCTTACTAAAAAGAAATACCTTTTGGAAGATACAATCTTCTGTCACAGCGATCGAAATTGCGAAAGTTTGTCTCCCATAAACTTGTGACAAAATCAGTAGATTTGGTTTGGTTTGGTTTGGTTTGTTTTACGGCATATCAACACCTCAATGGGTCATTTAATGCCGACAACATTTTTTTTTTCCTGGTAATATTTTTGTTTTGTCAAAAATCTATTTCCGGTAATATTTTTTTGATCCGATCCTAGTTGACTCTTCAATTTCCTTGCAACCAAATTTTAACCCGAAATAGGTCGTCAAAGTTTTTTGTTTTGTAAACATAATAATAATAATAATTTAGTAATGATGATATCATAAGCTGGTTCTTATTTGTACAAAAATGTAACCTTAAAAGCAAATCATTTTGTTTCGCATAAATCAAAAGAGTGTGTTTCAACTGACAACTGAATTAAAAAAAAAAGAACAATGACACACATGTATATTCAAGTGGTCGTTATATTTAAGCAGTGTAAATGTGACAAATACGGCCTGTGTCAGCGTGGCCAGCCCAGAAACCAACTATCTCTTACCGTCGCGCCGAAAGAGGAGGAAAGAAAAGAACAAGCAAAATGGAAGTGAATAAAATCCATGCAAGATGGTGGAATAGTTTCATGACACCTGTAACGTCAAACAGGTTTGGTTTCATTGTTTTCGGGCCTCGAGACAAGAAAAGAAATTGGAAGTTCACTCCAGAAGTTTCTATGTAACTACACGTACATGTCATCTAATCCGATGCCGAAGGTTTCAGAGGCAGGTTAGATTAGACCCTTGCTCGTATTATCAGACTTCATAGACCAAGTGGGTCAAGAGGTTAAATTAGGCAGTAACAATTTAACAAAACCATTTGACCTACTTGTTATAGACTTGATTGAAAAAGAAAACAAATAAAAAATGTGAATAAAACCTTTTGCTTAAATTATGTTAAAATTGAAAAAAAAATCAGTCGATCGCCTAGAGTTCGGATTACAGGATTTGGATACAGAGAATGTATCATGATTTTAATCAATGACGACATTAAAAATATTACACGAGAAAGCTTTCGTCTGGGAAGACATTTTTTTTATCAGATACATGGAATCACTTCTAAACGCTTGACGTTAGTGATATGGATCCATTTTTTTTTTTTTTTTTTTTTGACTAAGCTGTCTAAAACTCATTAAGAATGGTAGTTGTTGTTTTTCTCCTCTTGGAGAATGTCTATCTTGTGGTCTACGATGTCAATTTCGGTTATTTAGGGATAGTGACACTGTCATTTTGAAAATATATTTCAGTCACTGAAACATCAACATTTTCAGTATTTTCAGAGACACCAAAACAAAATTAAAATAAATCCTAAAATGCTGATATAAAAGTGTGACTGTCATTCTGGTAGTCAGACGATTACCAAGATCATCTAGATGAAAAGAGGGAGATAAATAGAGGGATAAAAGATTTCCAAATTTGAGTAGCTCCTAAAAAGACATGGGATTCTCTCCACTTTGTGATCGGCGTAAAAGATTCATAGGCACAAGTCGTAACGGTGCGATTAATCAATTTGTTTTTCAGGTAAAATGCTATTGTAATAAGATCTATTTGATATTCCACAAAAGTGACCTTGTGCCAAATAACATTAAGATGAGTAATTCCCTACACGCAAGCCACCAATCTGCCACTGGGTGACATGCCACTAGCGTTTACCGATGTTCATCTCAGCGATGTTAACACTGGCGGACCACCACAGTGAAGTGAAATAAGGCTAGATAGCTTGTACCTTTAAAACCCTCGGCAACAGGTACCATGGACTTACCCATCTGGTGGAGCGAAATAGGGCTAGATTGCATGTACCCTTAAAACCCTCGGCAACTGGTACCGTGGACTTACTCATCTGGTGATTGAAATAGGACTGAATAGCTTGTACCCTTAAGACCCTCGGCAACTGGTACAGTTGACGGCGGAGAGAATTTCTTCTCTCTTAATTTGGAGTAGGTCAATTCTGTTCTCTGGTGGTGGTCAGCTTTTTCGTCCGGGGAGCTAGACAGACCCGAACCCGCTCATGCGGGTTCTATGGGAATATTTTTTAGCCGAACATACGGGCTCGGAGAACCCACGGTAAACTCGGCCTTGTGCCACATACATCCCTCGTGGGGAGGGCTGTTAAATATTGACAGCGGTAATGTCGATGAAGACTCGTGAGTAAGATTATCTTCAATCTTTTGTAGTCGGTGTTCGAGTTTAGGAAAAGGTTCTGTTGTTGCTGGATATCATAGCGTGTTTCCCCTTCCTGTTCCTTTGAAGGCTTAAGAATGTCTATTTGTTAAAGGATTAAGTCTAAGCAACTATATTTCTTAGAAGGCTAAAAAGTTTCCTATACTTTTAGAGGCCAGTCTATTTGATATTCATGACGTAATACTTGACCAGCTTTCATGGCTTTAATTCCTACGAATTTTCTTCTTTTGATTGTCTCCCTTCTCAGTTTCATTTGTGCCGTTTTAGGATTTGATCCGCAACCATAGATGGTATCATTAATTTCATATGAGCCAGGGAAAGTGCGGCATTCTTTTTTCCACCATTGGCCGTCTCTTGTATTTCTTTGTATAAGGTGGGAGAAAGGGGAAATCATTTGATAGGAATGTAATCTAATCAAATAGTCAAGTGAGCCTGCATACCTTGAACGACGTCTCGTAGTGGCGTCGCCAGCTCGGAGTAACCCGAGCAATCCGTCACCGGCTGAAATATCAGACGCCATATTTTCGAACGTCGACTTGTACTTCGTCAACAAAACACCTCGTGCGACCTCGTCCAGTGCTTCTAAGGATGCAACGGACATTTGTCTCAGAATGTCGAAAATTCAAATACTGTACCTTAAAATGTAATGTAAAAATAAGATGTTCACTTATCAGTTACTTTACTATATACAATATTGATTAAACTTGTCGGACATCTACACATACGTTCGCACACACACACACACACACACACACACACACACACACACACACACACACACACATATATATATATATATATATATATATATATGTATGTATGTATGTATATACGCACGCTTCTACACATGCCCACACGCATAAACGCATACACACACACACATGTAATTTTTAAAAAATCTTACCCAAGCAAAACATTCTATTTTAATTCATTTCTCACTGAACTCAAATCATTGTCCTATCGCCAGTCATCCCTAACTTGGCAAGTCTTAGATAAAAATAGATGAAGCAATAAATTCTTGTAATTACAATATAAATAATAATATGGATTTTACCTCTGCAATTTTCCTTTACATTTTGCATATATATATATATATATATATATATATATATATATATATATCATCGCCTGATGATCTTACTTATTATAAAACGCAGATTGTGTGTGTGTGTGTGTGTCTGTACGTTTATATATTGGATCGGATTTCTTACATTTTTCAACCGATTTCAACAAGACTTCACAGGACTACGTAAAATTACCTTGCGGTGGTTCTGACAGCGCCAAAAATTGGAAAACACAATTGTTTTTGCATGAAATCAATTTGAAAACACGATTAAGAGGCATCGCTGTTGCGAGAATGAAAGGGGGACAACTCATATCGAGTTATACTTATTATAAAACCCAGGTTGTTTGTGTGTGTGTGTTCCTTTATATGTGGGATCGGATTTCCTACATTTTTCAACCGATTTCAACAAACCTTCACTTTTTTTTGGCAGGTAGTGTTTCTTATTGTCTTGCACACTTTTTTCTTTATTTTTACATTCAGAATGCTTTAAAAATTCCATTTACAAGACAATCGTTTATAATAAAATTCTATTCAATCGATAGACTCAAAACAATGTTTTTGTTTGAGTTTGGGTTTGGCCAATTCGTAACCCCCCACCAAAAAAAAAAAAAACAAAAACATAAAAAAAACTAATTAAGACATGCGTGTCCGTCAACCTTAAACAATAATCTTTGTCAATTTTATTTTTCAGTCTTTATGATGGTCGATAATTGATCTATCTCTTACTGTTACATCCCCAGGCAACGCCGGGCTCTACATATAGTATATATATATATATATCACCGTCTGATGAGATGCGCTGATATGCATCGAAACGTGAATGCATTTATGTAACGATTACATATTTTCGAATGTAATATCCTATAATAAAGAATTATCGCTCTACTATTGTATTGAACCCTTTTTTAAATTAATGTTATGAACTTTTGAATTTATATTTGATTCGTTCTCATTTCATTTGTATATATATATATATATATATATATATATATATATATATATATATATATATATATATATATAGGTGTATTATAATAAAGGTATATTTTCAAAATATATTCTTTACAGTGTCAATATATGAAGAAAAATATGGATAAACAAAAGTCCGAATATGCAAGTAAGCCGACGTGATCGTATTGCGAAACGGGACGCTGATCTTAAAAAATTCAGTTATTCTGTTTTGATTAGTCTTATGTCTATCGTCTTTTCATGTTGACTTGAATATGGTTTAATTTTAATTATGTTTTAATAACTATGTCCTGAAGAAGGTCTGCTAGACTGAAACGTCTGACGCCGACATTGAAACAACATTAAAACAGCATACTTGCATATTCGGATTTTTGTTTTTCCATATTTTTCTTCATACTGTCGGATCTATATCCACATATTTGCTTACAGTGCAATATATATATATATATATATATATATATATATATATATATATATATATATATATATATATATATAATCGATTCTCCCGTCGGGTTCGACGTATGAGGGTCAAACAGATCAGTTCCTGAAACCGACAGCCCGACAACAGCACATGAGATTCGATTATAGTGGTGAAGGTTTCGTGCAGGACCATCCACACTTTTGAAGGGCCGAATACAGAAACCTGGTGCACTACGTGCCACAAGGTTCCCAAACACCCCCCCTCAGGTTTTGAATTCAGAGTTGTCCTTCTCCTAGACCAGTTGCCATCCAAGGCTATAGAACCCAGTCTGTCCTGCTATTTAACCCATAGCTGCAGGGAGAAGAATAGGATTCACACCTTTCCCAATATATATATATATATATATATATATATATATTGACACTGTAAAGAATATGTTTTGAAAATATACCTTATTATAATACCCCTCATGTGAAATAAACAAGTTTTTAACTTTATCGAATTAGAAAAAAAAGACATAAGATAAATTGTAGGCTGATTAGTTAACAACAGACTTGATTTCTGGACAGAGCCGGTATTTACCTCACCCGATCCCACGGTCAGTTAGTCGGGTAACGAGATACCCTAGAAAGCGCGTAACATTTTATATTATTTATCTTGTTTCGCTTCTCGTCGGGTGTGGCTGGCCGATCATCTGTGCGAAGGATTTTACCGGCTATCGTGACTGGACCAAGCCTGGGATATTGTAACCTTAGTTGGGAAATGCTTTCACTACGTTCGTTTTTCTTTCTTTTTTTTTTTTTTTTTTTGTCACAGAGCGTTTGGGTTCGGATTAATATGACCTTTTGCAAAAGATCGATTTATCTGCAGCTAAGTTGTAGGCATGACATCGATCGCCCACTCCATTTACCTGCTTAGGCGCGGGCAACGATTTCAGTATAATGTGGATAACTCAGATTTTACTAGTGAAGCATTGCGAATGTTTCCATTGTAATAGTAGAACTTTTGATATTGCCAACAAGTGGTAACGTTGAAAAAGAATTTGGACGTTATTACAAATATTTAAATATTGAGTTTTACAGCGCCATCGTAAAGAACACATTGGATTGATTTTTATAAAAAAATCTTCGTTCAAACAAAATTTTCTTGACTGAAAAGCAAGCGTATGGTATTTATTTTTAACTTTTTCGATAATACACAATCATTCGATTTACATAAATTTTTTCATTAGATGTCTTTTTAGGGCTTTTAGTTTCAGGTGATTGTCTTGTAAAGAGAGTCTCTTACGAAAGCTTTTGAGCTGATAAATAAGTAATACAGTGTCACCCGGATGTAAGAGAGTTGTCGGAACCGGAGAAGAAGTCTCTTATATCCGGGTTTCTCTTATATCCGGGTTTGGTCTATTTTATATACATTAACACAGGCTCTAATTTGGGACCAGAGAAAATCTTTCTTATATCCGGGTTTCTCTTATATCCGGGTCTGTTATATCCGGGTTACACTGTAAATGATATAAGTGGCCGATGTAACACTCTAAGCATGTTATAAGATTTAAAACAATATTATTTGTAATATTCATCATTTCCTTTGCCTATTCATAGAATCCATAGCAACTTGAAACTTTGTGCCAGCAAAAAATATAAAAGGATGGGTTTTCCACTGATACCGCTTTTATTTTAACTGCCTTCACTCCCCGGCAACATTTATTGATTTAAAAAGCGATGCTTAGAATTGTTATAAAATCTAAACTTATGAAGGGGAATTTATACATTTTCTTTGCTCTTCCGAATTGACAACTAAAATAATAAACGCTATTAGATTGTTTATTTAAACTATTTATTTAATATATTGTATATTGAAATGATTGAAAAACATCGGTTAATTGCCAATGGATTCGAATTTTGTAAAAATGACAAATTATAACGATTTCTTAATAGTTGCTTCACGTATTTTAATAATTTACTAATTAATTGTATATTTATGAATAAAAAATTGTTTACATATTTATTTCTGTATAAATTAGTAAATGATAAATATTGCATTGGATTTAGTTTTAATTGTATTAGTTTTCAGAATGTTGTAAGTATAAACTAAACTTATTTTTGTAATCTAATAAATAGTTTTTTTTATTATTTTTGTTGTAAATGCCAGGAACAAAAAAACTGTATAAATTCACTTTAAACATATGCTTAGATTTTATGAGAATTCTAATCATCGCTTTTTAAAACAATAAAAATTGTCTAGGAGTGAAGGCTGTTAAAATAATAGCGGTGTCAAGGGAAAAGCTTTTTTTTACACAATTTTTTTTTTTGCAGACATAAAATGTCCAAATTTGCTGAATTCATATTATTGAATCTGTTTCTGTTTATTTTCGTTTCAAGGTTTATGTTCATCTTTTTCATCAATTTATAACATTTATCGTATTTCTCTTTCTTTCTTTCTTTGTTATGGATACAGAAGTCTAAATAGCCACTGGTGTTTCCCATCTTGAGCATGGTATTCCTCTTTATGTAGGCTCTTTATATTATGACCACTAGTAATTTATATCAACTTCGGGAAGGAAGAAACCGCTAGTTACTTTTGTTTGTCTAGGGCTAATATTTTTAGATTATTTGCAATCCTGACTTTTCAATTATTTATTTATACTTTTGTTTTGTTTTATTTTATAATATTCTTATTTATTATTTCAGTATTTTTGTATGAGTTTCGCTTCAAAAATTTATTAATGTTTTAGTGGCATATTTATAGAGAGCCTATACATAAAGGTTTACTACATGCTCCAGTGATCCTTCAAGGATTTAAACTGAAAGTCATTGTGCAGTGTTTATTTCTATGATTAAACTCTATTGTAGTAACACGATCTCTATTGCTGATATAAAACCCACATAAATAAAGCAATTATTAAATTTATAAATTTATTTATACATAACTCCTCGAAACAAGTAGAACTCTTTTGCTGTATTTACATCAACACATGGAAATGGAAAAAAAAATTAACATCAACTAAACGTTGAAAAATATTCATCGTGTTAATTAAAGTAAAATATATACAAACAAAACACTCAAGAACATAATCAGCTACTGAATGAAAATATATTTTAAACATAGAGAAAAGAATCGAAAAAGAGGAGAACACGGTATT